AGAATGGATAATGTGTTGTATGTTACAAAGTTTGTTTTGGAAAAGTGGACAACAATCAAAGAATTAAACTGCTATAGATCAAAATAGCCTTAAATATTGATTGCCTATTGGATAAATTAGTAATCTAAGTTACGACTTTGAGATTGCCTAATATATACGATTTTGAGATTTTCAAAAATATAACCTTTAAATTTTTAATTTAAGTTAATTTGCTGTATACTAATTTGTTTAGGTTCGGTTTGTTTATCCGTGTATATTTAAAATTGTCGTGAGGTACGTTAGGAAGATGTGAAAATCTGACCTATGTCCAAGCCTCACTCAGAAGGCTTGAATTAATATTTATATGGTAACCGTGTGTCACGATCCAAAACTCGACTTGTCGTGATGAACAATACGTTCAAATTACACTTAAATTAAATAGTGTAAGGTGGTCGGTGTTAAATACAATAACCCAACAAGGTTGGGGTCAAATCCCACAGGGAATAGACATGAAAAAGTTACTCGACTAGTGTGCTACTTAACTTAGGTCATAATTCTATTCCGTTAATTGTAACAAGAGTATGATATAATTGTGATTTGAAAAGAAAACTAATTGTAACGTTGAGAATGTAAATAATTTGATTAAGGAAACCAAGGTTGTGTCCCCTTCAATGAAATGTAATGCTATCGGTGTTAATATGATATATTTCTAATGGAAGGTTCTTTAGATATGTAAATGATTTCTAAATGACTACCCAATATTTTCCAATAGTTGGTTAGAATTTCCTCTTTATGATTTTTCCAACTATAAAAGAGTTGCAATTAAGAGCAATCAATTTATGCCAAATAAAACCCACTTATTCCTAAGTGATTCTATTAAACAAGGTTTAAAGCCTTGAGTCTTTGATATTTACTTCTACCAAACTCTCACTCACTTTTCCAAGCAAAGAAAGAGTTTAATGACACTTGTTAATGTTTGCAACCACCAACAATAAATGAAGAATGAGAAATAAATATATATCAACCAATCATTATATATATAGTCAATGTTAAACATCCATTAACATAACACTCATTTAGGGTCCACAACCTTAGTATTTAAAGCTAGCTACTCATGCTAAAATACAAAAAGATAAGAATATTAAATGTCATAAAGCTTACAAAGTGCAAGATTCTTCACTCCTAAAGCTTCCAAAAGAGAGGAATATTCAAAGGTTGGAATGTAGCTCAAAAACAAGACAAGACGCCCCCACAAAACCCCAATAAATCTATTTTTAGTGGGCTAAAACTCGGGACCAATTTTGGACAAAAATGCCCCTCCAAGTTAATTATGCGACCGTATATCTGCCGTATAATAGACATGCGGTCCGCATTCTCGTCAAAGCCATCGCATCTTCGAACCCTAGTTTCCAGGTAGTCGTCGCATCTTGGTTATGCGGTCCGCATTGTTGATTTGTGACCGCATTTCCAGCTTCAGCAACTTCTACAAGGAGTTTGCGATCCAGAATGCGGCTCGCAAAGCTATTATGCAGTCGCATAAATGGACCGCATTTCTTGCGCTTGAATTTGACCAACAGACTGTTGGGCTTTGCGAATCCTCTGGGCAATATGCGGTCCGCATGTTGGATTTGCGGTCCGCATTCTCACATCTACGATCGCATTTTGCCCTTTTCTTGTCTGTTTTGCGGCTTTTTGATTTCATTTCCATATTCTTGGGTACTTAAACCTCATACACTGCAAAACATTAAAATTACAGAAGTATAAAAGATAATTTCATTTAAAACGAGCTAAAATCTAAGCAATTTGTATTAAATGTGCCGAAATTCTCCGACATATCAACACCCCCAACATAAACTCTTGCTTATCCTCAAGCAACTAAAACAACACCATCCTATTCTACACTCCAGCTAAAGGGTATGAAACAATAGTGACCGTGGACAGTGTTAGTTGTCAGTACTACAAGCATGCACTTTCGTTTATTTACCCTTCGTGAACAATCATTGTTATTTACAAAGAAACTAATCAACTTGTGAACCTTGAGCCTCAACCAATTTGACAAAATGTTACTCTCAGCTGAGTGCACTTGCATTCGACTCCGAGAACTCAACTTCTTTCCAATCTCACAATTCATGTGCCCTCACTAGAAAGAAAGTCTCAAACTCACAATATTTACAATGACAACAAAAGGGACGCATTCACAAAGACACTCACTCTCAAAAAGAGTTTCAAGTATTACAACATGCCATACCATATGCTTGTCCTTATTTTAATTCATCGCTTTATTCTATGAACGTTCGGTTGGAGATACCATAAGGACTTTTTAAGCTTGTAATGTAGGTTTAGGGAAGGGTCGGATAAACATTTGGGTACAAGTGACTACACCCTCCTTGAACACTAACATTTTTCTTTTTTGTTGCTCTTTGCTTCTTTTCAAACCACATAGCCTTCATTAGCCCCTAGTTTCCAACATCGAACCACCTTAAATAACTCTAATTTTTTTCAAGGCTCCATATTTATATATATACATACATCTCTTTTTCTTTTCTTTTTCTTCTTTTCTCTTGTTTTTTTCTTTTTTTTCTTTTGGAGCTTGAATAGTTTCATATGAATATCTTGAGGTATACTTTCCTACACTCACTGTACAACCTTGCCAATATCAGGCTTAACACCACACCCCCAACTTAGGCTTTTAGCCTCATTCTCAATGTTCAAGGAGGGACATGTTCAAAAGAGGGAATTATTTTACAAAAGGGGAAAGGTTTGTAATGAGGTGGCCAAAGAAAAGGTTAAAGGTTCAAATGGGATAACTAGTGATAATATCTATACAATGGGTAGCTTGAAAGGCTAACTGGTTTTCCAAAATCATAAAGACTGCCTAAGGTTATTTCTTCAAACAAATATAATTATCACTAGCATCGAAAGACCAACCGGCCAAGTTCTAGATGGCAGAAGAAAACACAAGAATTATTTATACAAAGACTCACACACATGGCACACGAACTGTTTGACTCAACATAGTTTTAGCATTCGAGTCAACACATGGCAACTCGAAGCTCTCATCATATTTACATGTGTAGCTCTAGGTAGACATAGAGTCAAAGAGAGAGCCTCAAGTTCACACAGTTAATTTCTTCTTTTGTTTTTTTTATATTTATGGACGGGTATAGGCTATTTACAGGCATCCATGCTTGAAACTAGACAATTACACCAAACCGGTCAAAATATTTTATTTTACTGCCATGGTTCTACTATTACACCCTTGGAAAAGAACACGGCGAAGAAAAACCAAGGGGAATTCATTTTTAATTACTAAAGATGAACACGCATCCAACTATCTACTTGTTTTTTTTATCTATACAAGGATAATATATGTACAAAAACAACACAAGTATATACAAAAGTTACAGAAATTTGCTTATATAAAACAAAAACATGTACAACAGTTCACAAAAAGTTTGTACAAGGCTATCCCACCCCTAACTGAAAATCATGCATTGTCCCCAATGCATAAGAATGTAATACAAAGTTTAGGGGCTCCCTGAGGTGCATTAAGCGCTATGGGAATCGAAAGCTGGCTGAATGATATGCGGGTCACCATATGATGCTGAAGCTGGGACCAATGAGATCTCGACCTGAGGAGTGACCTCTACTAATGGAGGAGGGATATCCAACTGTCGTGACACTGGAGCTGGGGCCTATGAGCTACTAGCCTCTCTTGCTGATAGCTGAGTGGCCTATGGATTGGCTTGGATGACCATGTTTGCTAGCAAATGTTCTATCGCCTTCTGAGCAGCTGCTTGTTCCTCCTCTGCAACTGTAGGGGCAGCAATCTGCTTACCTTTCTCCTGAGGACCCTGATCCTCCTCGAACCATGACTCCTCGTCGGTCTCTCCCTCATCTACCTCCCCACCTTCGGACTCTGTAGAGTGTCCGAAATCTTCCTCAAAAGGGATGTCAATATGTGCAGGGGAAGGTGGAGGCTAGGAAGCCCCTATAGTCTGAGGTGCAGGAGCTGTCATCAAGGTGGAGAAATCAAGATCTAATCGAGCCATAGACGTGACCTCTCCCTGCTCTCCTTCCTTGGGAATGAAGGAGGATAGATCAAACTCCAGAGTTTGCATCTCGTGGAGCTCGGTCTTCAGTGTGGCAACATAATCACGGAGCTTTGGCAAGTCTCCAACCTCACCCCGCTCTATCTTTTCAATCCGTACCTCAAGCGGCATCAGGCGATCCCCATAAGATGTTTGTTGCTGGTGGAGGGCCGTCACTAAGGACTGGATAGGGGTCAAGGCTTGTCTGATGAGTGTGGGAAGGTTATTCAGAAGCTAGTCTACCTTAGCATTTGCATGTTGAGCTATGAGACCGAGCCTCGAAATGGCTGGCAGTGTGGCAGAAGGCTGTGCAATGGTGGTCTGAGAGGTGGGCTGTGGAGTGGAAGTGGAAGACACTGTGGCCTAAGGAGAAACAAGAGCCTGGGAGTTTGAGATCTATGTATCAGCAGGAATCGGGGTCTGAACCTCTGGGGGAGCAACAACTACCATGTTAGTAAAGTGCGTGATATCAATATCCTTCAGCTCTTTCCCCGTATTGTTAGTGTGTGGTATTGAAAGAACTTCCACAGCCTTATAGAGGGCTGTGATCAAGCACGGGAATGGAAGTGACGTGGCTGTCTGGTTGGCCCTGATCCCTAACTCTCAGAAGATAAAGTCACACACATCAATTTTTATCCCAGTCATAATGCATGCAACGTGAAGAGCTTTCTCAATGCTTATATCAGTCTCATTTCGGGACGGTATCAATCGAGAGCTGACAAAACTAAGCCAGAATCTACCCTCTTGTGTGAGATCTTCCTTGAATACTTTATGTAGAGGGTTAATCCAAGCGGGGGTCCCCTTGGCTATCACTAAGGCTATCCAACCATGCTCATTATCTCTGTTGGCCCATTTGGTATCATACTCAGTTGTGCTTGATCTCTGGTTTGGAAAGTAGAACTCGTTTATAGTGTCACTGCTACAAAACACCTACTTCCCTTGAACCAAGACAGTATCACGGAAAACTTTGTTGCGCTTGTGGTGAGGTGTGCTGGAGGCTCCATAAGATGCATAAAATTCACGCACCAATGTTTCATTGTAATCATCAGGCAGCTCAGTGAAGCACTCCCAATTTCTAGCCTTGATGTTCTCCAGTATGTGAGGGTATTGCTCATGTAGCCCATTCAGACTCAGTTGTTTCTCGTAAAGGATTTTCCGTTTTGTAAGCGCTTCTCTATAAAGATCCCTAGAGCCTTCGACCCTAAACCTGAGTTGGAAATCATCTCCTCTTTTTCTTCTTATCTTAGCTTGTAGGTTAACTGATGGCAAGGTCTCCTCTTGATTTTGGCTTGTTGTGATTGACGACTGGTAGAGGCCTTTTTCTTGGAAGATATATGTTTCTTGGGAGCCATATCTGCAAAGAAATGAAGTGTGAGCAACATAGCAGACATCAGAAGAAAAAGTACAAAGAAAGTCAAGTATGCGACAGAATATGCGGTCGCATAACCACTATATAGACCGCAAACCTGTCGCAAAACTTTTGTCTGTTAAAATGAGATAGTTATGTGATGGGTTTTGCGATCGCATATCCATTTTGCAGTTCGCATAGCCATCGCAAAATAGTTAGCTTGGAAAGGTCATCACACTATGCGATCGCAAAATCCACCGCAAAGATGGATTTGCGATCGCAAATTAGCCGCAAATAATATGTTACAAAAACCCATACACTATTGAAGTATGCGGTGGCTTTGTGGTCCGCATATCACTTATGCGATCGCAAAGCCTCCGTAAATTGCCATCTTCCTCAGGTCACCTAGGGTTTCCTATGCAGCAACAATGCGGAACGCAAATCGACTATGTGGTCCGCAGAAGTCGTTGTCCTTAATGTTTTGAACTCCACCCTCTACAATGGTGAACCTAATTTCACTACCCAGCACCCCAAGCCTAACTAATTATCCAAGAAACCCCCCCTCCAATTATGAGCAGATACCCAATAACAACGAGGAAGCTAGAACAAACACGAAAGGAAATTAAAAAAAACAGGAAAACACTCAACAAAATTGAAACTAAACTTTACAGGGATGAAATCGGGTAAGGATTACATACCAGGAAAGGAGAATTGAGAACACTTGGGATATGAACTCAACAAGTGGGATTGTTGTTTACTCTTTTTTTTTTGGTAATCCGCTAGGCAAGCGTCTAGGGCTAGTTTTATATATAACAAAATTAAAAATCAAAATACATTGTCATGATATCCTAAAAATTGAAAGGAATAAAATTTGAACATAATAAATATCATGTTATCTAAATTGTGCAGATGAATTATTGTTTTTGCCCAACTTTCTTGATGATGTGTGCTTTTGCAATCCCTCCTGATCCACCTTATCCCATAAACGATGCCATCATGCATCTAGTAACATTCCCAACGATGCCATAAATGACCAAGATATTCTTTGTCAAGCATGCGTTTCAATTCCAGCTTGCATTTCCTTGTGAAATGTCCTACCAAAGGCACGCCCCAATTTGCTTAAAGCAACGTGTTTTGCTTCGAAAGCAATGTCAAAATGCTTTCTTGCTGGATTGCTTTCCACCCATGTGCATGCCATGTCCAGCATTTCACAAGAAAATACATTTCACAAGAAAATACCCATGCGCATGCTTTCGTGCATCTCCAGCTTCGATAGAATCAATTCCAAGTTTCAAAATACCCATACACGTTCTACAATTTCCATGTCCAGCATGCTCTTCGTTTTCCATGAATTAAGGTTCACGATTCAAGACCCCTTTCGCGTGCTTTTTTGCTGGATATTTTTCCAGCCCATGCGCATGCCATGCGTTCTTTTCTAGTTTCGATAGAATCAATTCCAGGTTTCAGAACTTCATGTACACGCTCTATCATTTCTCGAAATGAGCTAAAGTATTGCATTCTCAAGCTTGAAAAGCATCTATGTCCAGCCTGCTACTGACCAGCGTTCCCTTCTATGAGATATCATGCGTGCCTCCCTTTTTATTTTTTAATCCCAAATTGAAGTCCCTGCTGCTGTTGTTCTTCCCTTTTCCCGACCAGGAGCATGCTTCACACTTTTCAGAAGAAACCATGTGATGTTTTACCTGCGAGCTAAAGATACCCTCCTCCCTTATGATTTGAATATATTGGTCGTTTAAGTTGACATGCCTCCTGCTATTCCTTTTCTCTTTGCTTCTTATCTCCTGTCCACCTTCACCCTTAGACTTGGACATTGCATCTTATCTTCATTAACCAACCTCCTTCCCTTTTCATCTAGATGCCAGAATTGTTGGCATTCTATTTCTCCATGATCTAAAGCATAATTAGCCAAGTGATCAGCCAACTTGTTGCCCTCTCTATGAATATGAGTAACTGTGTAATTGCCCCCAGTCATTAGTTGCATTATTTCCTCTACCTGCTCAGATATGATCCATGGTGGTTTCCAGATCCCATCCATAATCTTTTTTAATAACATTGAGTCAGTTTGAAGCCATACATGAGGGTATTGTTGAAATCTGCAGAACCTTAGTGCCTCTACCATGGCCTTCGCTTCTGCTACTGTGTTTGTTGTCTCCTCAATCTCCCTTCCTACTGACTTGACTATGTCACCATTTTCATTTCGTATACAGAAGCCTATTGAGCTTCTGCCTGGATTCCCCCTCGAAGCCCCATCCGTATTAACCTTTAGCCATCCTGTATTTGGAAGTTCCCACATGACTTTGGTAACCTTAAGTTTTGGAGTGAAATTTTCCATCACAACTAATAGATCTTGCCATTTGTGAGGTACCATGATCATCCCAGGCTTTCTCAGTTTCACCAAAGCCTGAAGATTTGATGAAACTTGATAGATCACCCTGCTTGTTCTCACGCCATCACCATACTTCATACTATTTCTTCTTTTCCAAAGTTCCCAGACTATGCATGAGGGGAGTGCTTGCATTATTGGTTTTAGCCTTAAGCACACATTTGCAGTCCAACATTTTGTGATTGCTTGGTGCAATGTAAGTCCCTCCACATCTATTCCTTCCCCCGATAGAAAATACCTCCAAGTTATCTTTGCAGTTTCTGATCTAAAAAACAAGTGCTTAAGAGATTCCTCATCAGGCTGTATACAAGACCAACATTTTGATGGCATGCAGTAGCCTATCCTTTTCAAGAAATCATCTAAAGGTAGATTTGCTTTCCACACTTTCCACATGAAAAATGATATTTTAAAAGGAAGTCCATTCACCCAAATCATTCTATAAGCTGTTCTTGGTTCGTCTCTTCTTCTCGTATACTCCCATGCTGACTTAACACTGAAATATCCTCTTGTTTCCAGCATCCAACACGGCCTGTCAAGAACCTGTATCTGTGAAGGTGGTTTGATTTTCTCCATAATGTGTACTGCTAATTCTTCAGGAAGTATTTCATATAGCCTGGCCACATCCCACTTACTATCTAAGGTAACATCATTTACATTATGTACATTTTCATCAATGCCAAAGTCCTAAGGAACTAAAAAATATAGTGCCCCAAGACCTGTCCAATTTTCATACCAAAATAGTGAGGATCCCATTTTTGTTTGGCAAAGGATTTGATGTTCAATCAGATCTCTGCATTCCAACATTTTTCTCTAGATGTGAGACCCCCTTTTCCACGGAACAATAACAGGATTTAATTTTTTGCAGTATTTCTGACATATGAAAGCGCTCCATAGGCTCGATTTTGTTCTGAAATTCCACCACAACTTACTGAATAATGCGTTTGCTACATCATGCAGTGACCTGAAACCTATTCCTCCTTCTTCAATTGGCATGCATAAGGTATTCCATGAAGCCCAATGCCTACTAGTTCCTCCTACAGTGCTGCTCCATAGGCTCGGTTTTGTTCTGAAATTCCACCACAACTTACTGAATAATGCGTTTGCTACATCATGCAGTGACCTGAAACCTATTCCTCCTTCTTCAATTGGCATGCATAAGGTATTCCATGAAGCCCAATGCCTACTAGTTCCTCCTACAGTGCTGCTCCAAAAAAACTGAGCAAACAATTTGTGCAACCTATTTATCACATACTTTGGAGGGTTTACAGCTGAAAGTAGATGTATAGGCATGCTTTGCAATACATGGTATATGAGAACTGCCCTGCCCCCTACTGATAATAACTTGCCCTGCCATGATTGCATTTTATCCATTACCTTAGTAATTAGGGGCTGATAGAATTCCAGCTTTCTCCTTGCATAAAATATCGGACAACCTAGATATATGATAGGGAAATAATTCCTATAAATGCCTGTGATCCTTTCTACCTTGCTGACCACTTCCATGTCTGTTAAATGATGCAGGTACACAGCTGATTTGGTCTTGTTAACAAGCTGCCCAGATGCATTTTCATATTCCTTTAGCACTTGCATAATCAGCATTAGAGATGTTTCATCTGAGTATAAGAAGATAATCATGTCATCTGCATACGCCAAATGATTTATATTTGGACTCCACTTTGGCATCCCAAATCCACAAAAATACAGGTTAGTGTGTAGTGCATTGAGTCCCCTAGATAATGCTTCTGCTGCCAATATAAACAAAGTTGGAGATACAGGACCACCTTGTTTTATTCCCCTTGAGGACTTAAAGAACCCATGCGCTTGACCATTTATTAGAATAGAATACCAATTGTTTGAAACTAATCCAAAGACAATCCCTATCAACCTTTCTGTGAATCCCATCTTTCTTAGTACCTTGGTTAGGAATAGCCAAGATAATCTATCATAAGCTTTGGTCATATCTAGCTTCAGGATGACATTAGGTCCAGCCTTAGTTCTAAGCCTAGTGTCAGTCACTATCTCTTGAGTTAAAAGGATGTTTTCTACTATATTCCTTCCCTTAACAAAACCTGCTTGTTCCTCCGATATCAGACTTGGGAGAAATTTCACTAGCCTTTCATGAACCACCCTTGATATAACCTTATTAGAAAAATTACTGAGGCTTATTGGTCTTAAATCAGAAAAGGTGGTAACTTCTTTTTTCTTTGGTAGAAGAACTAGGTTTGTGTGTGTTACACACTTGGGAAGCTCATGGACATTGAAAAAAGCCCTCACCATGTCGTACAGGTCATCCCCTATTAAGTCCCAACAAGAATGATAAAATTTTCCTGACATACCATCTGGCCCCCCAGCACTATCACCATTAAGTCCAAGTACTGCCACTTTAACCTCCTCTTTTGTTGGTTGCTTAATAAATTCTGCATTCCGCTTAGTGTTAATCAGATTAGGAACATGCTCTAAGATATCAAATGATGAAGAAGTAGCTTCTTCTGTAAACTGTTCCTCGTAGAATTTGATAGCCTCTTCTGCAATTTGTTGTTCTTCTTCAATCCAGGTTCCTCCACTGTTTTGAATTCTGTTAAGCTGAAGTCTCTTCCTTCTACCTCTCACTTGTGCATGGAAGAACTTAGTGTTCCTATCCCCTTCCTTGAACCAAGTCATGCCTGCTTTTTGTTGCCAATATTTCTCCTCTAGTGCAAGACTTTTGATCAATTCTGCTTGAACCTTTTGTAGTCTTTCCCTGTTCATTCCTGTAGGATTTGTTTCAAATTCTACTTCATGAACCATCACTACCTCTTCCATACTTGCTATCTTTTGGAAAATATCTCCAAATAAAGCCTTACTCCACAATGAAAGGGCCTTCTTTAATTTTTTTAACTTATGATTAAAACGAATAAAAGTATTTGCACTGAAATCAGCAGACCAATTCTCTTTCACCACATCTTTAAAAGTTGCATGTTCCACCCAAAAATTCAAGAACTTAAAATGTTTTTTATAGGTGGAGTCTCAATATCACACTTCAAAAACATTGGACTATGATCAGAGCCAGTCTTTGACAAATGTTGCACCTCTATTCCTGGAAATTTTTGTTGGAATTCAACATTGGCCAAACATCTGTCTAGTATTTTGAATATACAGTCTTCCTCTGCTCTCCCATTCCACCATGTGAATATGCTGCCTTTAAATCCAAGGTCGAATAGATTGCAAGTGTTGATGCAGTGTCGAAAATCATCAATTTCATTCAATGACACAGGTAACCCACCAAATTTTTCTTCTTCGTCCCATATTACATTGAAATCACCTCCTACAAGCCATGGTGCATCCATATCCCTTGCCATTGCATATAATGAATCCCATAATTCTATCCTCTCAATTGCATCACATTTTGCGTATATCAATGTTAGGACAAACTCCACATGCGATTCAGTATGAAACAATCTTAGTGTTAATTGTTGCACCATATTGTACATAACAGTTACCTCAAATACCTCATCTATAAAAGCCCAGATCTTGTTGGAAACATTTGAAATTGCCTGTGCAAGTCCTATCTTGTTTCTGTACCTTTCCAGTTTTTTTGCTTGTTGCTTTGGCTCCATTAATCCTACAAAATCATAGTGATTTTGCCTATGCATTTTTGTCAACCTTTCAAAGGCCTGCTGTGTGTTGACTGACCTTATATTCCAAATGAGAGCATTCATCACTGATTGCTGGATTTAGTCATCGTTCTCCTTGTGTGCACCCCAGCTTTTGGTGCTGCAAAATTATCTTTTTGTTGCTTCTTCTTACCTTTTGCTGCTGATTTTGCCTTTACCAATTGCGTAGGTGATAAGTCACCTTTCCTTGCAGCAATCATAAGGTGTTGGGTAGTTGATTCTTGGTCCATGTCGTATCCAAATTTACCAAGTTCTTCTCCTTCTTCATTGTCTTCCTTCCCTCCTGATGTAGCTCCAAATGCATTATTTTTAGGGTCCGAGGGTTTCTCTTCTCCTCTTTTTAACAACTGCAGCTTGTTTTTCTCTAATGTAACAGTAATATTTTCTATTTCTGTTTTTTGTTTTGGTTGTTTCAACTTCTCTGTTGTGTTGTTTCCNTTTGGTTGTTTCAACTTCTCTGTTGTGTTATGTTGTGGGTCTTCTTGTGATTTCTGCAGTTGATCATCTTCTGTGCCTCCGGGATCATTTACCTCTGGGCCTCTTCCTTCATAGTTACTAATTTCTGTGACTTCCGCCGTCTGAGAATTATTGATGTGCTCAACATATTCTGCTCCTTCCTTTATTAAATAGTTACCAGTTATATTGTTTTCATTGGCATGGATCTCTCCATTTACACTTTGCTCATCTTCTTCTTTGTCATTCTCATTAGGTTCCTCATCATCTTGTGCTCCTAGTGGTACTTCGTTCTCTTCTGAATCGTATTCCCTTTGTGCCTCCCATAGCCTGCCTCCACATTCTTGCACTCTTTCTTTAAATGTAGACGATTTTGACCCTTTTGCTATATAATTTGGCTTTTTATTAAGTACCTTGTTCACTAAAATATCTTGTGATGGGATTTCCTTGGATGGTTTATTGATCTTCACTATTCCTTCTCTTGTTTTATCCTTGAAGCTTCTTTCTACCCATTGTGCGGTATCGTTTGTTGCTTTTGATACCTCCTTTCCATTGACTAGAACATTAGTCGAACTAATCCTGGATGAGTTAAGATGAAAAGCTTGTGCTGCTGGATTTAACTTTCCCTCATTATTGACCATATTTTTTGTTTTTTTCTTTGTAGATGCTTGGTTATAAAGTGCTGATCTATTTGTTGCTACATTATCTGCCACCATTGCCAATTGATTAATAGGTTCTTCCTCTTCATCCATCCCTTGTAATATTGCAAACTTGTTAGCTACTTGAACATGATCATTATCTTCATTGTCTGCTGCCACCAAATCCTTACCACTGTTGCTATGTGCTTCTACTTGTCTCCCTACAGTGCTTGTACTCTCCTTGTTGTTAATGTTTTCAAACTGCTTAGCTGGTGCCATCTCCATTCCATTAGTAGTGATACTAGTATTTTGAATTACTACATTTCTAACTCTATTGTCCTTCACTTCCTTCCATTGCTCTTTTGCTGTAACATTCACATTACCCACGACCTTTCCACTAGATAACATCATTATAGGCTGTGAGTTCCTTATGTCCTGTTTCTTAGCATTATCTGCTTGGTTATCATTCTCCTTCTCCACATATAGTTCAGGGTGTATCCTCCAGCATTCAAATTGATCATGCCCTTGAAGTTTACAATGTCTGCAGTATTTAGGCAGCATGTCATATTGAATTATCACCCATTCAGTTCTTGTTGTTCCTATAGCTTTGTTGACTATGTCCATCCTCACCTTTTTAGGCAGATCTCCAAGTAAGTACACTAGTACCTTCACCCTAGCACAACTAGGTCTAGTTTTATTAATTGTAGCCATGTCTAGATGCATAGGTTTACCTACTGCTGAAGCTAGCGAAAATAGGCATTCCTTTACAAAAAAGGTTGGCAATAGACCTGGGAATGAGATCCAAGCCATTGCCTTGGGTGTTTCTTCATCTGCTCTAAACTTTGAGTCATAAATCAACGGCCTAAGCTGATATTGATAGCCATCCCTATCCTTTATGTAATGAGTTTTTGATGAGAAATGAAGATAGTCCAGCCTTGATGTCATTCTAATCAAAATATGTCTATCCCTTAGAAATCCAATGTTACATTCACCTTTAATTCCGCATTGAATTGGTATTAACTTACGCAATTGTTGAATTTCTGGGCTGCCATAAGAACATTTACCAACTATTGCATATTGTAATCCTTCGATGATATCCATCCTTTCTACTTCTGCTTCTGTGAATTGAATAACATGTTCTCCATTCAATATTATAGGTGTACGAATAGCAATTGGCTCAACTTCCTGTTGCTCCTGCATTCCAGCATTTAAAGTGGAAGGTTTCAGAATTTTGGAGTAATCCATCGGCTGTTTGTTGTTAATTGTGATCCCTGATGTTTGCGCAATGTTTGGAGGAAGTTGTGTAGGCAGTGCAACCACCAAAAATGGCTGGCCACCTGCCTGTGTGTCCATTTCAGTTGTAATTCTTTAGCACTCTACTTACATGACAAAGGTGCAGTATGTTTGCAATAAAACGAAATTACTGTAAATTGAATTTGCTTCACACAATCTGTTGTGCTTAACAGTAGCGCTGGAATTGTAGAAATTGGATGAAGAACTCTGTGTGCTACAGTAACTCGTGAAACTTAGATTAAGATCTACAAAAATTGACTATAGATCTGAAGTTGAAACCAATTGGGTATTATTTGTAAGGAAATTATGTATCTTTTGACACCATGTTTGGTTGGTTCCACCACCGGATTCCAGAGTTATGACCGGAAAATGATGACGAAATTACTGTTCAGAGATTTTCTAGAGAGAAGGCAGGGAATTTACTCTTTGCAATGTCATTTCAGAGATTGTTTACTCTTTGCAATGTCAACTAGCCGTTTTCCTTTCTCCTTTTTTTTATATATGTTTTGTTTAAGAGGGAAATGATATTGTCTGAGTGATGGGGTGTTTATGTGCGAAGGGATAGGGATACTTACCTATAGAATTTGCAGTGGAGAAGTCACTACATAACACCTTATGCGACCGCATAAGTGTTATGCGGTGGTTTCAACTTGAGTTGCTCATGGACACAATGCGGTGCACTTGTGCGATCGCATAACTGAAATGTGGTCCTCAAAGTGCACATCCTCACCACATTTATACCATCAATATTTGCCAAACAAACTACCCAGGTCTGCAACCACTATGCGGTCCGCATAATTAAAATGTGACCGCATATGTGTCGCAGACTTCCCATGGTGACTTTTCTTCCCTTTCACACGCAATTTTACACTGTGTTATGATCTTTTGAATCACATGCACTCTAACACACACTTTAAATTTCTCAATTAGAGCTATCTAACAAAAGTTAAAATTTAAAGGACAAAAAGGATGTTACCACATTTCGCTCCCCCCTTTTTCCCTCCGCGGAGAGAGGTCCGGGTTTCGACATTCATGGGGTGTGATAACTCCTTTCCTTTTGGTAATTGGGCATTTGAAGAGTCGCCACCTAATGAGTTATGGTGCGTTAGGGAACCTAGAGTGATTATCTCTTGGATTAGTTTTCATTACTAGAGACTAGGGTAAGGGCTCAAAATGACCTCGAGGGAAAGGTGTTAGGCACCCCTCTTGGTCTACAACTGTGGGTCTCAGCCAAACTTATAGTCACGAATTAGTCCAAATAAGTCCTTGAAAAAAATAATTACAAATAAGGCATGTTTGTATGACTCAAATAAGACAGAGGTTTTTGGACAAGTTATATAAAACAAAGCCTTAAAGAAAAGAATCTCGGGAAAAAGGGGAGGTCCTAGGTTGGTTAGCCTATAGGATCACCCCACACAATGTCCGGTAAACACTCCTCAATGAGGGGATACACGTGACATTAGTGCATAGTCATCATATCCCATATCTACCCTTCCCATCCCCTTAGTTGTCATTTAAAGCGAGTGTTTGGTCAGCGATTTCTATTGCATGCTGTTACCCATCCCTTCTTAATGGTCCTGGAGGGATTTAGGACCTCTACCTAGAGGTGGTTCTAGACAGACCCCTAAGGTTTTAAAGGTGAAAATACTAAGGCGACATGTAAGAACAATTAGGACTTTATCACATAAGATAAAAGGGAGCAATTAGAGGCTCAAAGTTACCTCCTCATGTAATACACATAAACAACACGACTCAAGCACAAATA